TGTGTGTTGCAATCCAACCACACGGCGGGTACTTCAAATCGAACTTCGAACAATTGTTACTTTGTTCATGTCCCCAAAGTGCAAAGTACTGTTACAGGATCGGGTCGACACCACCACTTCTTGCAATTTCCGATGGCCATTCGAAAGGACTGATCAGCTCCGTTATTTAGTTGGTTGCATTATCCCTGATGACCAAAGCACTGAAGATGTTCTACAAGCGCCCAGTCAAATACAGAGACGGCGTGGATTGGCTTATCGACGAAAGACGATGTGAGCAACGGTGCAGCGCAGATACCGTGAAACAAGTTGCTTTCGGTCACCGGTACCTGCCATCCACTGTTCATATCTGAGCGACTAACAGGGAGTACTGCTGATGCTATTAGCCGGTAATAAACCCACTGGCGCTGCATTGATCTGTCTGTACAATGGAACAATGGTATATGACGGGTAAAAAAGCATACACTTAACGAGTCCCGCAGGTTGGCAATAGAAATACTAACAAATTGGCAAACCACATAAGTGGTTGAAGTAAGGAGCGTCAGTGAGATAAAAGGTAGAAGTATAACAGTTTTAGGGGGATAAAGTGGTACGACGCAAAACTGGCTAAGAAATTGTTATCGTTGGTGATGGTAGCAAATAAAAATGGAGTACTCACCGGTTCGCACAGATTTACGACCGTGAATTTGGGGTATAAATCCAAAGAGGCTGGTCAGCCTAAATATATACAAGCGTTCTCGTTCATAAAACAAAGCGCAGGGCGCTCAGTGCGACGTCCAATCGTTTTTTAAACGTATCTAATGTGGGGGCACAAACAACTGAGTTTGGAAGGGCGTTCCAGGGCCCGCAGACCCGGAGGGAGAAATAGGTTCTCCGACAGTCTAGACGACTGTACTGTTGGCTCAGCTTTAAACTGTTACTGCGAAGGTTAGTGTTCGGGCTGAGCTTCAAGAGGTGGCGGCATACGTGACTGGGATCGCTCAAAATCTGGTACACTAGTATGAGGTCTCCACGAAGTCGCCGGTACCGTCCGCTGAACACTCCGAGTATCTCCAGTCGTTCCTGGTAAGGAGTGTGGCGCAAGCCCTTGACGATTTTCGTTGCTCGACGCTGTGGGGTCTCAAGCGCTGCAAGGTCACGTTTTAGCCAGGGTTGCCAGGCCTGGATTGCATATTCGACGTGAGGACGCACGTAGGCATTCAGCATCAAAGAGAAGATGGATGGATCCAAAATTCCGAATGCTCTTCGCAGGAGTCCAACGTGCTGGTTGCCCCTTTTAGAAGCGGAATCTGACTGTTTGGAACACCCGAGGTCTTCCTGTACCAGCACACCCAAGTCGCGTTCCTGAGTGGTGGTCTTCAGATCGTGTGCCCCAAGCTTGTAGACGTGGACTTGTCGATGGCGGATATGAACAACGCGACATTTGTTCACATTAAACGGCAGGGCGTTTCTCACCGACCAATTCCAGGCCTCATTCAAGTCACCCTGTAGGACTTCATGGTCGTCCGATCGTTTTATCGCCCGCCAAACCTTGAGGTCGTCCGCGAAGAGTAAGAATTTCGACGTAATAACTCTTACTAGATCGTTAATAAAAAGCAGGAACAAACGAGGCCCAAGTACCGAACCCTGCGGTACGCCGCATCCCACTCGAATCGGATCGGAAAAGGATGATCGAACTCTAACTTCTAACTGCCGTTCAGAGAGAAAGTTACCGATCCATCCTAACAACGGGTCTCCGATACCGTACTGTTGGAGTTTAATGAGCAGGATTCGATGATCCAGGCGATCGAAGGCTTTCGAAAAGTCCAAGAATGCAACATCGACTCCTGTTCCCTCATCGACAGTCTCAGTCCAGTTGTCACGAGCTATCAGCAGATTCGTCGTACATGAACGATGTTGACGAAACCCATGCTGTTCTGGCGCAATTATGCCGTAGTTTTCCAAGTATCCCATTAACGCATCTGCTATCACCGCTTCCATGACTTTGGCGATCACAGGCAGAAGCGTTACGGGGCGGTAATTGGCAGGATCCGATCGACTTCCTGCTTTGTATATGGGCGTTATTACACCTTGTTTCCACCTCGAAGGTACGATGTTCTCATCGAAACAGCGCTGAAAAAATGCAGCTAGTGGTTCGGCCAAGTGGATGGCAGCTACCTGTAATGTTTTCGGGTGAATGTTATCGGCCCCGGGAGAGCTGTGTGGACGCAAGGATAGCAGCTTTTGCAGCACCATTTCTGCAGTGAACGTGACGTTGGATAAAACCGACGGTGGGGTAACTAGTGGCGGAATATACGTCGAGGCTTGTACACCTTGGAAGATTGGGGAGTACTGGGCCCTTAAGGCATTGGCCGCCTCCTTCGCAGTATGTGTATACCCATTGGTCGTATTAAGTGGTGGGATTCCCCGTTGCACCTTGCGAAGTCCATTCACATGTTTGTAAAGAAGCTTTTTGTTCGAACAGAATCGTTTGGCTAGCTCCTGCTGATGCGTTCTCTTGTCTTCGTGAACCAAAAGCACACAGTAGTTGCGATGCGAAACGTATTCCGTCCAGTTTTCTGCGCTGGGGTTGCTTTTATACATGCGCCATGCCCGATCCCTTAGAGCCATGCATTTTCGCGTCCGGCTTCGCAAGAATGATTTCGCTGTGCGGGGATGTTGGGAAACTTTTGGTGTTGAGGCTTCTATGACTAGTGACGTGATGGTGTTCGCAAATGTCTCCCAGGCTAGTTCTGGGGTGCAGTTAGCTAGAAACGTCCAACTGGTATTCTCAACTAGAGCAGACAGAACGTGGTAATGGGTAACAGATTGCCTCGTTTCGAGCTCCGCAGCTGGATATTCGGCGTAGCAGATGTAATCAAACTGCAAAGTCACGTGATCGCTACGGCCCAAAGGACTGCACACCTTTAGTCCATCGACCATGAGCTCTTCGTTAGTGAGCACTAGATCTAATATCGATGGGTTGTTTCCTGTTCTGAACCTGGTTGGAACGGTGACGTGGTTATACAAGAAGGTGCTAGAGAGTAGCTCTTGCAAATATGCCTTGAACACTTCTGTCTCGGATGCTGGATTTCCCAAGTCATGGGTGTTGAAATCTCCTACAACGAGGATGTGGCTGTACTTCTGCTTAAGCACGGAGCGAAAAGCGGAGATAAGTCTGTTGTCCCTTTCCGGAGTGGATTTCGGTGGTCGGTAAACCACAGAGAGAAGGCATACGTCGTTGCGTTCCAACCACAGTTTGCACCAAAGGACGTCGGTGACACAAGTCTGGGGATCGTCTATGAGCTCACAACGAAGGTTCGTTCGGAAATAAATGAGCACGCCACCGCCCTTGCCCGTTCTGTCGTTCCGGAGAAGTGACATACCCGGTATGGCAATCTCAGCGTCTGTGATTTCGCCGCTCAGCCAGGTTTCGGCGATCATTATGATGTCTCGAGGCTCCGAAGCCAAACGGTGACGGAGTTCTACCAACTTACTTATGAGGCCTTGTGCATTAGTATACATGCAGGATAATGCTTTTGTAACCAAGAGTGAGCTAGCACAGGGTGTGGTAGGAATGGAGTTTGTGCCGACCGTTAACGGGTCGGCCATTAACCGTTTTTTTGTGGTGACGTTTGCCTTTGAGTTTGCTTTCGGTTAGACGACTGATCGCGGCCTTCCGGGCCCTGCTGGTTACCCGTGTTCAGCCGTATTTCGTGGGATATTGCGGTTGTCGATAAATCCATGCCTTCACAAAGTTGCATGAGTGGATGGTTCAACAATTTGATCGCTCCCCGTGAGTCGTTGGTAATCCGTGGCAGCGTACCTGATGCCTTTAACCGAATTTCCGCTGGCAGCTTCACGCGGAATTTGGACCAGTTTTCCAAGGCGAGCGGTAACATAAACTCAGATTGAAGCACCACCTTCATAAGTCTGGGACCGTTCCCTTTGTAGTTGGGTGAAAATGGAATCCTGGTCAACCGCTTAGCGATGATATTATTGAGGGAGATTTTGTGGCGGATGTAACTCCATTGCTCCCGCTCATGTGCATCCGCTGCATCAGAGGTTGAGTTTTGGAGCTCAGGAACCCCGTACACAATTATCGTCCGTTTCGCCTCGGCTTTACGAACTTCCTCACGGTTGACCATCTTTTTCGGACGTTCGTTCCAGGGGATATCAGGAAGTATGCGCGCCTCGAGTGATGAATGACGAAGCCTGTTGGACGATAGTAGAACTGCCTCTGTGTCCTTGGTGGAGTTTAGTGTCACCCGGAGAAGTCGGGTCCCCATAGTCTCCATGGTTAGACCACGCCCTTTCGAAGATGTTATTATGGGGTGAAAACTCAGATTGACCCGTCAATGACGCGAAAAAATACGGTGAGGAAACTGACGAAAAGACTGTACCAGACTGGTGCATGCCTTCTTCCTGGAAGAGGACCTTAGGATGAGTCACAGCGGCGGCATTTTTGGAGGTGGTGCAACAAAGAAGCTAGGAGCGCACTTGTGCTTGTTCACTCGCGTTTTCTCCTTAACCCATCAGTCCAGTTACTCCAACATTTTCCAACATGCCTTTCGATTCGCAATAATATTTTTGTTTATGCCGCTGTTTCCCACACCCATTTTACTTACTATTAATATGAGGACGCAGGTAATGGTAGCTCTGGATTATTGCTACCAAGCCTAACTCAGCTTAGCTAGAACTCGTTTGTCGTCGTAGGTTAATAATACGGAGTCGTAGATTAACAATACCTATCCACAGGAAACACTAGCATATTCGAAACCCGAAAATCAATATCGCTGGACGGCGTTTCATGCCAGCCGCCCAGACACAAACAACGCCCAAGTAATGAATTTTGACCAGTCACAAGGCCGCCATCCGAGCGCTCCACATGACTGTTAGTTATCCCTATGTTTGTCTACAACCACTTTGTGTTTGAGATAGTAAGCCAAGATTTCATAAACACAGGTCCGCATCATTCATACACCGTGCTATCGTTTTCATGCCCTCTTCTGCTCTACCTACAGCGTTTCACTCCCGTCTATTGGATCTCATCCAGTCGCAGTGGGACTCATATAGGAAGGCAGAGAACACTTACAAACTACTAGAAATTCAGCGCGATCTATGCGGTTTGATGCCCTTCCCTATTCAGTCACCAGACGAGCAACATTCCCAGGGGAAGTTAGCCCACCCTGCTGGACCCTTGTTCCGTATTGGACGACAATTTATCAGGGAGGGATGGCTCCAGAAACTCACAAAAAAGGGATATCAGCCCCGTATATTCTTTCTTTTCTCTGATCAACTGATTTACGCGAGTCGGACGACGACTACAGTACCACAGTTCAGAGTAAGTTGTGATTGATGAGATAAATAATTATATCGCATTGTTGCCTTAGCACACTCCGACTCAATGGTACCAACTTATGTGCCTCCGTTCCTTAAGCTATTAACTGCCATGATCCCTAGTTGTGGATTACGTACTTTAACCCGCCTAGTAACGTCATCTGTCGCTGACGGAGAAAACCAGGATGTTCGCGTCTCCTACGGGATGTCCCCTGTGGCCGTAAACCAAAAGCGATCACATGCATGCTCTGCACTGAGCACACGAGCTCATTTTCGCGCTCCACCCACTTCTTTCAAAAAAAATTCGGCAGTTAATGGGTTAGATCTATACAGATCAAGTCCGCTAGGTTCAAAATGTAATTGGGCGCGGCTAACGTGCACTCGCTTGATCCCCAGGTTTCGTGCTTGCAAGTATGGGTGAACTCGTTGCAGATGAACATAATATGTAGTAGAGTGGTGACTCGGTCGGCAACGTATGTGAATAAGAGTTGACGAAGTGAACAAGACAGGTGGAATCATAAGCACCGGCAATGTGGTGTCGTCGAAGCGACGCTTTGCTCTGGCGGAAGCTGCCGCACCAACAGTACCCGGTGGACTGAATGATTGTGGTCAAAGGGCAAACCGTGTTTGCTCATTATCCGACTGAAAACATGGGACTCCTCAGAATTGAAGATTGTGAGACACTCATGCGAGTCAGTGAACAAGAGTGTGAAAAGTGGGTCGATTAAAAGGTGGAACGTTGACCAATCCTTTCACACACATCAGGCGTGTTAGGTAACGTTATTCCTCAAACATGAGAGATCGAAGACTGATCACTGTTGTGAGAGAGGAAGTAAAGACAGAATTATTAAATGAATAAAACATAGGAAAATGAGGCATGAATGCATGTGTCAATGGTAGCTGCTAAATTATGGCACGTTGGCTAAAATGGAAACTCTAAGGGTGAGCTTCAACTGCTTTCTTGATTGTGTTATTAAAGATGGATTTCATATTTACCGGAAAACCACAAGACAGCGGTATTTCGCAGAGGAGCAATTACACTGGAATCGCAAGCCTATAAAAAGCCATTAGAGTCACTGATGCTGTATCTACGCGACCGTATGTTAAATAGTCGAAAATGTACCATATTTTCAGCGGTTACGATAACTTTTCATATACCCCTGTCATCAGAATTCTTCCAGTCAACAGTATTAGGTTGTTAGGTACATGCAATGCGTCACTCCAGAGTATCTAACCAGATAACTGCATATTTTGGTTCAAGGTACACGGCCAATTTCCGCTCTACGATCTCATGGTGGAGGAGGCGGAACCGGCTCATAGCTTCACTGTGTTTTCTGGTAACCGCTGCTTTCTGGTTGCCGCCCCATCCGACTGGCAACGTGATCGTTGGCTAGAGGATATTTCGAGAGCGATCTTAGCCGCAAAAACCAGACCTTCCCCGAAGATGGATATGGCACGCAGTGTATATGGTGTAGTTCTGGACGCAAAATCTGATGCACTGCACTGTGGTACGTGATACATGAGAACATGGCGAATACATTTCAGTGATACCAACCGTTTTTGGAGGTAGCAGGTGTTTTGACCATCGGTAACAAAAAAACCTTATTGCCGCTGAAGGGAAACACATTAAGTTAGAGCAAAAGCATGTAACTTTCCTGTTGGAAAGAATTAAAACATTTATCTGATAGTGAGAATTCTTGGACTTACGGCGCAAAAGGCGCGCCTCGTGTAATGATTGCTTAACGCATTGGTGGGTGACCAGGTATCAATCCATTTTCTGTTGGCATCCTTTTTAAGGACACTATAAAATGTGATCTAAACAGTGAACTAATTAAGACAAACTTGGGTTTGGCAAAATGACTACAAAATAATGAGGATTAGTGTCTTCTGAGAATTCAATCACAGTAGTTATAAATAGTATGTGGATTAAACGCTTTAAATCACGTTTTAAAAATGTGCTTATAGAACGTCAGCAAAAATGGGTTAATGCGATCCAGACGGTAAAACCCAGATGCCCCTCATGTGTGTCAGTCTTTTTTCATTTGTAGTTCATTTTGATCCGTGTGCCAAGGTGCGGTGTGTCTGGTTATCCTGACACATTATAATATTGGCAATGACAACAATAATCAAGAGGAATGAACAAATATTAAAATAAGCAAATGGAATAATCAAGAATCCGAAATAACTAACTAACTCCGTGACAGCGCCAACATCGAGATAAAGGAAAAAGTGAACGCTCAACATGAAATGCTCTGCGTGTGTGATTCTATCGGAATTCGCAATCATCTTTCATGGGAATGCGTTAGGGGCGGTTAGTAGAACTGAATAAACAGATTGAAAACAAACAAGTTGCAGTTGGCAGTGTGCGGTTCAAGAGGAAGCCCGCTTAAGAGCCAGATCCTATAAACAGGTGAGAGTGTAATCTCGCACTCGGCCACCTGGAAACGTCGAGTTGCAGGACATTTGGAGAACAGTTATGGCCACTCAGAAGTGTTAAGCAAGTCTTCTTTTGTACTGTGTCATTACGGTATGCACATAAATATATGAAACTGATCACGTAAGGTAAGCTAGCGATGCACCGGAAGTGATCGGAGTCACCTCATTAAAATTAATGAATAAGTCCGAGTGGTCGACAAAATCGATTACTCCAAGCACATGTCGCATCATGAAACTGAGAAAGAGGGGACTGATATGTGCTTTCTGCGGAAAGTAGTTTATAGATTTGGGCTGCTTGATAACAAAGGAAAAGTAGGGGGAGTTGAATGGCATAGGTAGAAATTCATCACATCTAGACTCAGTCACATGGCAATCACACGCCCGGAAAGGCACAGTACGGCCGTTTCATCCTTTCAGGAATCGTCAGCAGTGCGCATTCCATCTGACCCTTGTAGGGCTCGAACCCGCAAGGCGACTGCTGCCAGTCTGTGATTAAGACCACTGAGCTAGGGGGACGGCAACGATCATCGTGAATAAGTTACTAGATGTGTTATAGCACCACTCACTATCCACTGAGTTGTACGTTACTGCCATGCAGAGGACATGGTAGCCCCCTTACTAAGCGAGGAAGTTACCAAACTTAAGCCGCCAATTAACTTATGGCATTATAAGCAGTTTAGTCTGCGTTGCAGTGGTAGTAGTAGCAGTACCAGTAGCGGGGTTTGACTGGTATAAATGGGAACTCATCACATCTAGTCTCGGTCACACAACCATCACACGCCCGGAAAGGCACAGTACGGCCATTCCCATTTTGCAGGAATCGTCAGCAGTGCTCACTCCATCTGATCCCTGTGGGGCTCGAACCTGCAGATAGATTGTTGCCAGCGTGTTGTTGATATCGCTGTGCTACGGGGGATGGTAACGACCATGTCCACTGTATGCCAATAACGTGTAAGTCAGTGTATAGTGAGCGGCACTATATCATATCTAGTAACTTAGTCACAACGGTCGTTACCGTCCCCCGTAGCTCAGTAGTCGCAACCACACACAGACACTAGTCAGTGACTGCCGCTTATAATGTTTATAAGAGACAGTGAACACTATGGGATAAAGCAATGAAGGAATAATGCCTATGCCAATCGAGAGATCTGCACCTTTTCGTCTTACCGACTTCCCTGTCGAATTTAGCACCGCAAATGTATTGTGACGAATCAGCTTGTCGTTGCAGTACAAGGTCGTAATCGATGTGCCTGATAATGTTGTTTGCAATAGCGAGATTTTCGAAAACGCTCTGTGACAATGGGTCCAATCTTTAAAGTCCAGTTACGAAACTACGTAATGAATCAATGCTTCTTCCCGCAGAAAACTTTCAGTGCTCTTCCCTCATATCCACTACATTTACACAGCACTCCCGGGCGGATTATCCGATACGCTTCAAAGAGCTACCACGGCTGCGCACGTTTGCTGGCACCGGTGTTATACATACTCCATGCAAGACATTTTGAGAGCCAACGAGGTAATTTTGACCTTTAATCACTATCCTAAGGCAATTGTGTAGAGCTATATGGATTCATATGCTTGAATAGCCACAATGGTCGCCATCTGTGAATGGTAGCACACTGTATGACGATAAGCTTAGCTCATCAACGTCCGAAGTTTCTGATTAATGGACACGTGTTCAACAGTTCGCTAAGCCGGGGACACTAGTGAGTATTCAGTTCAGCTTTTCAGCAATAACATGGGTCCCGAATTGCGGTGAATCCAGATGCCTTGACATGTTGCATGAATAATAACACTGTGTAACGACAAAAAATTATTTTTTTATAACAAAAATGCCAGTGTCCCCACCTTATAGAATACACTCCACTGATCGTAGAGGTGTATTCCGATGTTGCCTAGCACGTTAGGTTACATTGTTATAAGCAATTAATTATTTCAGTAATTTCAAAACTACGTCGTACGAAGTATATAAAAGTGTACTGAATCAAAACGCATATAGAATGCATCTATGTGGAAAATATGTTCAAAACATCACTACAACACTCGCCGCTAACTACTGACTGCAGCTTGGCACTAAGAAATGATGACTTCGCCGAAATCGTCGCTTGTATGATCCAGCGCCCCCACGCTGCAGAAACCAGCAAAAGTCACCCATCATAGAAGGCGTGTGTTTGCCACTGTAGCGCTGTTCCATGACTGAAATGTCTTGTTGAAAGCGCCCACCATGCTCATCGCTAACAGATCCCAAGTTCCCGGGGAAAAAGTCAAGGTGCTTATGCAAAAAGTGCATCTTGAGTGACATTCGAGCACCAACAGCCCGATAGTCCGCAATGAGCTTTTTTGTGATGTCTTTGTAGTTCTCTGCCTTTGTTCTACCCAAAAATCCTGTACACACTGCCTTGAATTATCGCTACGCTTTTAACTCAAATGAAGTCAAATGGTATTCGAAAACACTGCCATTATTCGGCGAATATCAGGCCAAATAAATATCTCTTCTTTGAGCTTTACATCATTGATCTTCGTGAACACACATTTTAGTTACTGAAACGCAAAACCATTTTGCCTGACGAAGTTTCTAATCAAACCAAACTTGATTTGCAGGGGTGGTAGATAGATATGATCAAGTCATACAAGAAGTGTATACTTTACACTCATTTTTCCTGCAGCATACTCCGTCCTCTCTGGCCAATTTTCGGTTGTATAGTGCTGTTCAGTTGATCTACTATCCTTTAAAGACAAGAAACTGCAATATTTCGTGAAACCTTGCATACCCATTAAGAGTCCAATGGTTTTGAAGTCAGCACAGATGTTCCAACACTACTTATTGTAGTTCGGTGCAACGAGTATCTGTTGCATACTTTCGTAAGTCTCCTTCATATTCGTATGATGCAACAGGGACACAGTTGGGTATACATTTCCATTGTGGAGCAGTATGGCCTTATGACTACTCTTAGACGAGTCAATAAACAAACGCCATTTATCACTGATATGCCTCACGCCAAGCTCCTTCCTTAGTCCTTCCACGTCGGAACAGTAACAAAAGGTTTCTCTCGTGTCATAGAAATCGGACAATTTAACACTTCGCTTTCGGTACACAGCAAACTTAGTGTTTGCAGCAAGTAAGTGCCATTGCTGCAGCCGAGATGCCAGCAACTCGGTTGTCTTTAGATAAGCCCAGGTCACGTACCAAGTCATTCAAGGGAACGGGTAAGGTGCAATCATGAGGAACAGGTCGAGTTGCTGATGGAAGATCGAGGTAAAGAATTTCGTCCTTGTTTCGATTGTAGATTCCAATGACACCGGTTAGGTAGAAGCAGCAGTCTGTCGGCTCCCTCCACACTAAGGGGGTTGCAAAGGGCATCTTGCCTTTGCCCTTGCACGACGCAAACAATTTGCGGCGTTCACTTCTTAGCCTGATCTCTCAGTTTCCTCCCAAAATATGCGTGGCAGACAGACATAAGTAGTGAAGAAATGGGTCTGCACTGCGACTTGGTAGTAAACTGTCCACAGACGTAACAAAAGTGGTTTCGGTCACTGACATAGCAGCGTCTTTCAGTCGTGATCAAGTAAGGAAACACAGTTCTCAATCGACTTTCAGTATCAGATGGATACCATGGCCAAGAGCACTACATTTCCACGATTGCAAGGAGCCGATGGAACAATCACAGGCGAGCATTCGATGCATGGAACGTACTGTTTAGCCGAGATGAAAAATTGCAATTAATAAAAAACCCGACGTGACGGAAACGTTTGGTTTACATATTCGTAATCAATTCAATTGGTACTGATAGAAAGATTCTCTCGCATTTCTGTTATAAAAATGATGTACAGTGTAATTGAGGGGAAGTGAACAAGAACAAAAAGCATCATAGGGAGGAGTTGAGTCAAAAATTAGGCAATGAACAGAAAAGCACCATTGACTCCACAATGAACTGTATCCGATAAGGTAATCAACCACTTTATGTAAATAGGTGCAGTATTGAGAAATGACACATCAAACCAGCCATATGGTATTTCAAGTTAAGTCAAGATAAGTTTTATGTACCCAGATGGGTTCATTTTCAGCACTCTACAGTATCAAGTGCGAATGAAGCAAAATGGATAAACAAAAGGGAAGAATGCATTGATGTCATTCGAGTAAAAAGATCCGCATTCGTAGGCACTAAGCGCAAATTTATCAACAGAGTCCTCAGGTTATTTTAATCGAAGAGAGTAGAGTTATACGAAGACATTTCGACCGCGAAATAGCTTCAGGGACAAAGTTTCGGATCTGGTGGACGCCCAACTTAAAAGCATTCGTGAACGCCCACAGTGATCAGCATACACGTACGTTCGATTATTCTAGTTAGGGAAGAGAACTACCAATATAATCTGTTTCGGACAACTCCCTAGCCGCAAGCTAGAGATCTTAAGTTCAAACGACAGGAACACACCTTATCTTCAGTCGCGGCTTGCTAACTTTGACGAAGCTTTGAAATCGAATGACGCGATAGCGGCCAGTTCTTAATCTAGAAGACGAGTCTCCGCATATTTATTGAAAGTGACTGCAGCACTCTGAATGCAGCGAAACGTGAATTACGCATCGCCGAAGACGCGAAACATAAGCCACTCACTTGGACCCGAGTACAGTTGCATTACCCCATTGGCACGTCGTATACGCATTTCAGTCTTCAGGGTATTTACAGTCACAGTGTCAACTTTTGTCCGAGTTGATATAGTTAGTGTGTGGACATTGAAAGACCCGAGGTGGAATGGTGCTACGTTTGTTGGATGATGCGGACTCGCTGCTACCAGGGCTTATGAAGTTATCAGCGGACTCTTCGTGCTAAGCACAAGAAGCAGGTTCGTGAAAAGTAAACAGAAGAGGAGGAAAGATTGTGGACGATGGTGTCTTGTGTGCAGATGACGCTCCCACTCTGAGGGAACGATTTTGTTCGACCTGTCTTACCAATGGCCAACGACTCAACAGGCAGAAGCGCCTGACTTTAGTCGGACCCACAAGGTAGTGGAGAGCACCTGCATCTCGAGGTTATGCGAACAGAGACTCATTATGGTCTGTTTGAGATCTGAAACAAGCGCGACTGATGTTGAGACAACGCAAACTCCGGGATAAATGCGCAACATAGCCGTCTGGTGAACAACCGATTAGGTTAGGTACAGAAAAATCTAGACGATGCCATTGGGGGTTGTTCTGTTGAACCTAAGGTCCCATGTAGTCAAACAGTGATTGCTAACCGCCGAATCGTTAACAGTGAGCCCATTTGAATGGCAAAATCGTTTACGGGCAAAAAGAATACGCGTTGACTAGGTAAGACGCTACCCAAAATGTTTATCACCAGTAGGGTTACCAGCTAAGTCGAGCGATAGGCAACATATTTATAAAAAGAACCAAGGACTGGACAACACGAGAAGCAGGACTTCCGTTGGAAAGACCGTCGCAAGCACAGTAGCGAGCCCCTGTAGGCAGCTTCCCCAAGTTTATATTCTCAAGTGAAGTTATATCATTCACTAGATAAACAAATTCAGCTGAAAATCTTCATGTGCTTTTCATTCTGATACATGCATTTTTCAATTCCCGCACCGTCCGGACTTTTCAGTATGAAACAAGTGGTTACCTACTCCGGAAATTCAAAAACAGTAACGGTTGGCAACGGCTATGGGTGGTCTTCGCACAAAACTGCTTATTCTTCTACAAAAGCTACCGTGAGGACTGTCCGCTGGCCAGTTTACCACTGTTAGGATATACAATCACTACACCGGGACCTGGAGACAGAATTCGAAGGGACAATGTGATCAAGTTGCAATTCAAGAATCATGTGTACTTTTTCCGTGGAGAGACTTTCCACTCTTTCGAACGGTAGGTCCCTTGAGTTCACCGTGATATTATAGACGTCCGGATGATGTTCTCCCACAAAACAGTAGAGGATCACTACTCCCAAGCATAGAGGACGGTGGCACACAAAAGGGGTGAAAACATGTTCTGTCGCATTAAAATTCATGTAAGAACTTTCAGGTAAACTGCAAGTGGTTCTTAAAAACACATTGGGTAGACAAATGTTAAGTGCTGCTCACTCGCTAAATTCCAATAAATCAAGCAGTTTTCTAAGGAATTTGCACCTAAAGATTTGCGATACGGCTGCATGGAGAAGACGAAGTATCAACTGTATTTACCCATCAGGCAATTTCACATTATGATGGGCTGCGACTGACCCCACCATGACTGCTGCTAGTTGTCATGGGTTCTGTTCCCCGTAGAGGGCCGAGGGAATTCGCACCACTAACTAGTCCTAATGGGGCGAAACGATCGTCTGATGGTGTTCCGGATTGGTGACTAGGCTATCTGGCTTGTGGGCAACTAGGACGAATCAGTAAAATTCAAATGGTAATGCGAAATGCAGGGATCTATCAAACATGGCGCAGTCGGTGGCGTACCGTTCGATTTCGTACATCAAGTTGCTAATTTTCATTTCATTTCAACTAATTTAACGCATATCTTTATTGTTTCCATTGTCTTTGTATTCTATTTGTATCCAACCTCAGTTCCTTATCGTTATTTATTGTGTTGCTGGCGACGTGAGCCGTGGCAACTGGATCCATCGCACTTCGGTGCCCAGCTCCTAGTTGTTCAACTATATATTCGCCATTCTAGGTGCATAAAGCTCTTTCTTATATTGGACTGAACTGAAATTAGCATAGAGAATGCTCGAGAAACCCGACTTACTGTCGGGCCTAGTTTTCCCAGCCGTGTCAAGAGAAAAAAAGCACACCAACTCTGCACACAAGCGTTCTATTCACAAGTCTGAGGCAATGTACAATTAATTGGGTGTTTAAAAACTCACTCGTCCACTCAATCGATCGCTTGATCGACCGCACTGAGGCAAACGATCGCCCTCGCCCCCGGTTTCAGCCACCATCACATCCTTCCCTTTTTCATTTTATCGCAGTTTTTGTGTTGCATTTGCTATATCCTTGTCTACTGCGGGTGAGCGTCTGGTCTAAAGACATGACAGTCGCAGCAAGGTTGGGCTGAATTAGAGCATTAGCTGCTGTCATCAAGTTCCTTCGCCTCCAACTGAAGAAACGTTGAATCGAACTTGTCTCGATCTCGGTAGATAGCGCTTTTCTTCCTTCCAGTATCATTTCTTTAGTTTGTTTTCAGTTTTTATGACAATGTTTCCTTTCGGCTGCAGCCTCGGTCCGTTCGACCCTTTGAAGCGACTGTGTTGAACTGCACTCTATTCTGATGCAGCTTTCCGGGAGTAGCGTGTTGTCAGTGGTTGTTAGATCATGGTGTGATGATGCTGGTCGCATTTGTGTCAACGGCGTTGGAAAGACACACTCTTGTTCGCTAAGACCGTTTGAGTACTTTGTTATTGAATCATTCGTCGCTTGCTGACATTCACTGTCCACTGAAAAGGCATCGACCAACCTGCCACAACTAGCTAGAAGGGTTAATCGGCCATCACAATAGTTCTCAAACCTCTCGATTATTTGGGAAAGATCCATCACTCCATCATGGTCACAGAAATTCCACGGCTTCATTATACGGCACGCTTCATGGCCGATAGCGTATCGGAACATGGCCATCTGGTATGACTTCGGATATTCGTCTAACTGGATCAACGCTGCGAATTCCATCCAATTCGCTTTCCACGCTTTCCAGTTGTCAGGTAACGTGCTTTCCATCATCTTTAGAGCGGTCGGCAGTGAAAACGACGGCTGTCCACCAAAAGCAAGTGAGGTCCAGCGCGTCAGCTTCTTCTCCGTCACCATGTTGCGAGTCTAGTTCTCCCAGTCGCGTCAAGAGAAAGAACTCACACCGGATCTGCACACGAGCGTTCTATTCACAAGCCTGGGGTAGTGTACAAATAACAGTATTTAAAAGCTCACTCGTCCACTCGATCGATCGCCTGATCGACCGCACTGAGGCAGACGATCGCCCTCGACTCCGGTTTCAGCCATCATCACAACTGTTAACCTTTCAAACAATAAGGTAGTATCGGAGTAACCTACACTAAGGCATCCATTGAGCCTACTGATCGCTTGTCATCAGTTAACAAAATGTCATCGGTGTGGCAGGCGCTCTGTCCAATGTTTGGGATATCCACACGATAAGAGTCTGGGAGTTAATGTACCAAAGAGGCGATTAACATAAAGTAGAGAACAGTCTTAAAGCTTGCCCATTACAATCAGAGTAGAAAAATGGAAACGTATAAGGAACATCAATCAGTTGAGTCAGATCGAGTGATCACATCATGGTATCAGTTTGCAGGTAGAACGCAATAAAAAATCGCATCTATGTCACGGTAACATACCAGTATTTATCTAGGCAGAGTAGATAGTCAAGTGATCCCGATGCAAATAAGATTCAGAGGAAACAGACACATTAGGTCGTAACAACTGTAGTGATTTTGCTAAACGCGTATAAACTGTACCACACCCTTTTCCTTACAGCTGGCTTGAATATCTCAGCGGTGCGGCTGGCACAAGCGCCCGTTTCAAAAGATGAACAGTGAAGAAAGCATGCTGGTTGCTCGAAGATGGGGTGCAATACGACGTGATGTCCGAGAATAGGACCTGACAGTTTTGTACAACAACGCTCATCATACCATGAAATATACACACGTTTCTTCCTTTCCTAATAATTTCCGCCTGATATGCCGATACCACAAATGAAATAAGAACGAACAAGACAAAGCAGAATAACAGAAAATCTAATATTTGTTGTATAGATCATGGGAGAGATATCAATGACAATAAGAACGACTAGAATCTCAGTCAAACTGGATCAGTATGCATCAGCTGAGGATTACCAAATCATAAATTGGATCTGGTTCAACGGGATCTTGGGCGAGGGATTCAGTAGGGTGGATGGCAACAGCGGCAGCAGTCTAAAATGGTATGAATATAACAGAATGAATAAATATAGAGGTGACTCATCAAAGCAAGCATTGAGGAAATATATGCACAGCATACGCGATGGATAAAAGCGAACCTGGTGTCTCCTATCTCCATTCTGTGCTTCTATTCTATTCTCCACCGTACAGTAGGTGTTTCGTGTTTCACGCACATAACGCAGGAAGCATCATCCTTAAGGTTCGACAAGTTAGCTGGAGGCGAGTAAAACTACCGCTGTGATGCAATAAAACCCAACAAGGGTCGTAAAAAAGAATGAAGCAAAACAAAAAGTAAGTGAATATTGAGTACTGAGAATAGACAGCGAGAAGATAAAAATCTGTGTTGATCCATCGTAGGTGGATCGGGCACATGCGCGGAATCACGTCGCTGATTCCTGCGCGGTGTTGGCATATTGCAGCTGCACTAAATCTTATCCGGCTGCGATAAGCTCCCTATACCTGTAGTTCGCAAAGTGGGTGTCAAAGCATCTTATAAATTCCGACACCGATTTCGCCTCGACTAGCGCCTCTGACAACTTGTTCCAATATTTCCCCACTCACCACTGGAAGGATGGAGAGTGAGCGATGCACTTCAAATCCGGTACCACTAGTTTGTACCGGTGTCCACGTGTGTTGCTTGGTGCGCGAACGTGCAGCAGCGTTCTCAACATAGGGAAGTGGCCCTGGTGCAGTGTCCGGTGCGTCATAATGAGATCAACTCGAAGCCGACGATATGACAGAGTATAAAGCCCTGGTCTCCTAAATCGGTCTTTGTACGATATACCCCGTAAACTGGGGATGGTGGATCCGTTCCAGGCTCTGCACGTCCCCTATTATGATCGGACAATAGGCGGGTGAGCCGTACTCAAGCACAAGTCTTATCATGGAGGAGAACAGACGGGTGGCGATCGCTTCACACCAAGTGCAGAAACTGCGCTTGAGTGCCCAAAGCAGGCGTAGTCCGTTTGCGTACAATCTGTTCGAGTTGTCAGCAGACTTCAGATCACAATGTGAGAGCACGCCTAGATCCTGGTGGGATGTAGCGGGTCGCCTGTCTGGGTGTGCGCACGCACATTACCACCTCACCCCAAACTATGAACTTGGAGACTTGGCTAGGTTGACAGGTAGGTCAACTTCTGCAGACCACCGGGATAGGCGGTCGAGGTTCTGCTGTCTTGTTTTCATAATGTGTTTAGAATGTGTTTGGAATGAGATCATCGCTGGATTGGAGGGACCAGGAAGCAACCTAAACGCCATAGGTCGGCACTTGGCCACGTTGACTAGGTCTCTAGACATATGTTTACATCTTTGCGAGCCAACCTCCGGAGTCGACACACCGACCGAAGCCAAATTCGATGTGAGGGCATTCATCCTTCTTGAATTAATCATGGACTAGCCTCACCTCTTTGATGGAAAATTCAGCCAGTCGGTGACCGACTGATGTGGGGCCTTGTTACTCACAAGTCACCTGTTCGAATCGGCGTAGGCGCAGCTGATCTTGCAGCATTCCTACCTGGCACGCAACTGGTAGTGGTCGCGTGGAACCATCGCATCAGCGCGATGTGCTGGGATACTAATTGTTGTGTCCCCTTTATGTGGGAGTCGGTGTGCTGACATGCGCAACACACGACTGGTGAGTAAAATGATCGTGCTGGGTAGTTCATTCTTTCTTTCTAGAAAATAAACAAGGCAGTGGACGTGCACATTGTTCAGGCGGCGTTTCCACCAGACGGGAGCCAAATCGTTAAAAGTTTGTGGCCGAACGCAATCAACCTCTTAAGTCTGTCCATCTGATGGAACAGGTTTCTAAAGTGTGCAGTAGAGTTGAACGGATGGTAACGTTGTACACCTTGCTGTTCGGGGTGAGGGTTAGGTCGAATCAGGATACATAATGAGAACGAGCAGGGGCGAGGACACGACAAATCCATCGCTACCGGCTCATGGAAATGACGCACCCATGTGCTAGCAACAAGCGACCTGGTCGTTGGGCTCTGTTAATCAGATATAGTCTAAAAACCTTTGACACAGCATGCACTCACGTTGCTCTGAATGTCAACTGAATGCTTCAATCCTTAGAGTAGTTATCTGAAATGGAAAAGAAGATGGAGAATCAGACGCGTTTTAAAGATTTGTTAGAAAAATTGAGCGTGTCACACTTTAAATGATAAAACAGTGTCACGCATTACATAATAGGAAAACAGCCGAAAGACGATCATTGACGCATCGTGGTTAGTTGAAAGCCTGTATTAGCTAACTGGTACACAGAGGTGTCGCCCTGCATCCCAACGGTATGGCTGGTACTAAAACGTAGCACCTGATGTGGGCTGATAAAGATTTCCGCGGTGTATCCAAACAATGCGATTGATCGCAAATAGCATGGATTAGATTCTACAAGGAGAAATTATTTTACAATAAAAGTGTGATGAAAATGACGCTGTAAAATCGTAAGAGTGTTGGGTCAAAACGACAGCTGATTAATCGATCAAGTCCAACCGAGATGACTGTTGCAAAGGCTTGCGCATAAACTAAAAACAGTTTCAGACACGCACCTGGAGTAGCAAACGTTGACCTGCATTCAAGCAGTGAAGCCAAATCGAGGATTGCTTTATGGAGCACAGGGGAATTCATGAGTTCCGGCTCTGGGAGTGGAGGGGAGCAGGACGGATGAAACAGTGGGCCGCTGAAATCCCGATGAAATTGAAGAACCAGTGTGCAGAAACAATAACGTAGTACCAGTAACCTGAGGAACTCGTCGACAAGGAACTGAACGTAGGAGTAGTCTGAAAGGGATAAATCGAAGAGACAGGCGTAATGATAATTTAGGTGCATGGATGAATTGGGTGAGTTGAGGTAGCTGATACAACGAGATCTGAACTCAGGGCTACGAGGCAAGCAATTGGAATACAATTCAACTGAGGGAAGAGACAAAAGGTGTATACAAAAAAGGAGCTGCAGAGAAAACAAGTGATTCAGGGACAATCGGCTTCATTTGACGTCGAAGTACTAATGAGATGCAGCCAAAGCAGTGGTACCTTCCGGGGCGAAATCACACTATACACCATTCGAAATGCAACAACTGCTAACTTGATGACCCATCCTGATGACACTGAAGTAACTAATCAGCAAAGAATAATGCCGGTGCGTTCGGGAATTGTGACCTGACACTATTTTGAAGCCGGATGGCATTTAGTCGATTTGGTGCGCGAGACGGGTCTGCTTAACAAACTGAGCACTAGAACACGAGGAATGACTGTTCCAACGTCCAAAGTTGCCGCAGATATTCGTAAGTACCATCCTCCGTAGACTTGAGGAAGTGTGTGATCAATATTCACTTTAATGACGGGCTGTGTTCAAAACTCGTCAGCTACCTGGGAAGTGATAGCCGTCCCATTCGCGACATGTTAGTACAAACGGGATCCGGATACTCTAAGCAAAGCTCATCACAATCAGATTTATAAGTTACAGCCGCTGCACGCACAAACAGGACAGTACAGCCCCTGGCTGGGTTTAGCAACCAGCCTAATACTGATGGGTTTTGCCCAAACGGAACTGCCTATCATCGCATTTCCAAATAGCAGTGACTAGCTAGCAGAGTATAATTACGAAAAATCACGTATTAATTGACAGTTCGTCGCACCAGCTCCCAAATCAGATAGTCATCCACACTCCCGGAAAAGCACTAGACTGCAGTTTCAACCTGTTGGGCATCATCAGTAGTGCGCGTTCATTGCATCCGTCAGGATTCGAACCCATGACCATCAGCGGCTTGCACCGCCAGTCAACAGCTTATGCCACTGGGCTATGGGGGACAGGTTCGGACCGTCACGAGTTAGAAGCTAACTGGTATATAACGAGTCCTACCCTTCACTGCCACGCAAGTTACGAAAGTTACAGAAAACAGAACCGACACTGAAACACACGACATCAAGTAACGGGCTGAAACTGCAATCTAGCGCTTCTCCGTGCATGTAGAGGACCAGCTGATTTGAGAGCTGGTGCGACGAACTCTCAATTAATTACATCCAAATCTCCAACTCACTTGGTCTGAAGACAGTACCACCCGCCTGTTCTCTACCATAATAAGACCGGTGCTTGAGTACGGCTCACCCGTCTAATCCTCGATCACTATAGCTGGGGTGCAGAGACTGGAGCGCTTCCAGCATGCAGCTGCCCGGCTCATCCCCAGTTTATGGGGTATATCGTACAAAGACCGATTTAGGAGACCAGGGCTTTATACTCTGTCATATCGTCGGCTTCGAGTTGATCTCATTATGACGCACCGGACACTGCACCAGGGCCACTTCCCTATGTTGAGAACGCTGCTGCACGTTCGCGCACCAAGCAACACACGTGGACACCGGTACAAACTAGTGGTACCGGATTTGAAGTGCATCGCTCACTCTCCATCCTTCCAGTGTTGAGTGGGGAAACATTGGAACAAGTTGTCAGAGACGCTAGTCGAGACGAAATCGGTGTCGCAATTTATAAGATGCTTTGACGCCCACTTTGCGAACTACAGGTATAGGGAGCTTATCGCAGCCGGATAAGATTTAGTGCAGCTGCAATATGCCAACACCGCGCAGGAATCAGCGACGTGATTCCGCGCATATGCCCGATCCACCTACGATGGATCAACAAAGATTTTTATCTTCTCGCTTTCTATTCTCAGTATTCATTAGAAATTACGTACTTTTAGGATGAGACCATTGGTAGAAACAGATACCGCATGAGCAAGGTAACAACTATCCTCAAACTGATACACATTAATGAACCATTGCTCGAGAGAAGTTTCTTCGATTATCTATGAAATGGGATGCGG